TTCGAATCTTCGTTATTTCGCAAAAAAAAATTCTATATTAATAGAATATAAATTTCTTCATTAATTAATCGTCTTTCATTTAAAAGATTCGCTATGGATGAATTAAAACATTTCAGAAAAGTATTAAACGTTTCTGTTATTGATTAAACAAAATCTTGAATTCTCTTTTATTAATTATTTATTATCAGCCTTTACTAGATAGCTGGTGCTGATCTCTCTCTATTGCAATCTCTTGACTTTTCGAATTCGTATCCAATGATCTGACCTTCGTCCATATTTAAAGAAAGTTTTTTGTTATCTTGTACGAATAACTGATTGTTCTTGCGTGACGAGGTAAATTTAAATAGAAGTTCCGAATCGATGTAGTAGAACGACTTAACCACCTTCGTCGTCTACACTTTGAAAGCTTATTTTAGTATTATTTGTTTTATTTGCGTGAAATTACTTTGACAATTTTGTCAAAGTAACGTCACTTCGTCGGATAAAAAATTCTCTATGTAATTGACGATTTAATTTGATCTGAATATTGAGAAAAAGTTTAAATTGGAAAAAAATTCATTTTATTTTAAATATATATAACGTAATATAATAATAAAATTTTGACGTTTAAAAATATTCCTTTGATCACAACGTTCTTCCTTAATACTGTTAAGTATTTCAAAAAACAAGTCGTTCAGAAATAAATAGCAAAGCTTATTGAATTTTTATTTGTAGCTATTTTTGGATATTTCAATTTTAGAATTTATATGACAATTGGTCATTGATATGTCCGATATTTGGATCATTTTTAATCCACAAGTTTCAGATTAAATCTGTTTGAATCTGTTGATATGGATCACTTTTAACTCTGTTACAGCCACAACTTTGATGGTTGTAGAAGTTCTTTCGAGGTATTTCTTTTGATATTCAATGTTTTTAAGTACGTTCTAAATATGTGTTCAAATTTTTCAGAATATTTGTATAAACACGAATCACTTTGGTCAAAAATATTACATAATAATTTATTTACAAATTCCGCTTCAACAGTGTTGCAGACTGTATCGAATTTTCGAATGAATGGCAAGTGTTTACAACTACTCGCTTCCAAATATTCTTCCCGTTGTCTGTATTTTAAATTCCTCTGGCAATGTCAATAAACATCAAATGTTTCTAATCGCTTGCATAAAAGTGGCAAGATCACTTTGATATTTCCAGATCTCTGGAAACTCTCAATTATTCCACATAAACCAATTACGTTCGATATGTTGAGTAAACGCTTCTATTCTTCTCAGTTCACGAATAATTCACGGATAGATCTCTTGTTGATATTAAATTTCTTCTATCCAATAAGAATTGGACACGGATAAATGGCCCAAAGAAATATACTTCTTCGATATTTCACAATGTTTCGAAATTGGACAGGAAATATCTCGAGCTGGAATAGAAGGAGCACTTCAACAGTCCGTTAAAATAAGATCAAATTCTCCAAAATCTCTTGGCGAAACGAGCAACAACTGTACCGTATCGATCACGAAAATAGCCTCTTCGAAGATCTTCTTCTACGATATCCTCCAATTCCCTCTGTATAATCGATCTTTGTGCGACCAACGAGTTCTGTCAAATGATCCACGAAACAGTTTCGACGTACTTAATTACCACGAAATAGAGGCCATCTTTACATCATGTCCATTTTAATCGTTTTTCGTCTATGAGTCGTTAGATTCGAAATTATCCGTGAAACAGCGGTCCATGTACCATCAGTAGGTAAATCTCTGTCGCTCGAAGTTTTAGAGAGTTTGATTCATAATTCCGCCGCTTGTTCGATTACAGAGCCAGGTATCACGGTAACAAATTATCAAGATGCATTGATTCGACCCCTCGTTTCCTTCGAGGATAAACGAGATGGCGGTGTAAGATACGCAAATAGGCTGAATTGGAATGCAGATGGACGATTGACTTCCTCTTCCACGCGACCTTGAGGGTGCCCGAAATAAGGCTTACCTCGATCGTCACCCGATTGAGAACTCGATCGAAATATTATTGATCCGATAGATCGTGCAAACTATTTTCGTAAATCTAAACAATCAACATCGATTATTTGTTTATTCGGTTCGCTCTATTCATCGGATGCATCGACACGTGAAAATTGAAAAGTTTATAAACACATAACTTTTTATTCCTCTTTAAATTTTTGTTCGTTATGCTTTGTATTATTTATTTTGTGAAATTTTATTCAAAAATTTCTCTCCTTTCAGAACTTGTTTCGTTCACGCTTTTATTATTAATAAGAAGAATATTTCTCCTAAAAGGAATTATGTTTTCTACTGAACAATTACTTTATTATATTTATCTTTTATCATTCGTGAAATCAATCACGCAATTGAGAATTATTATTGTACAATTGTTGCAGTTAAATATTTATCAATATTAACCATCATTGAATATCTTCGAAATATTACAGCACGTTTCATTTTTCTTAAATTTTTAATTAATTCAAACTCTTGACAAATTTCCAGATTTTTTCTTTTTTTTTGCCAACAAATTTTTCTCAACAACAAAACATTTTTTGTTTCACGACAAAAGCGCATCTTCTCATTCTCTTCGAAATTATACTCGATTATACACAGTCCATCGAAGGATCGAACGAAAACGAATTTTATTTTCGTGTATTACATCGAGGATCCAACGCGTCGTTTGATCTGCCGGAGCCACGTTCACCTCTGATCCTGGATCCTTTCATTTTTTATCCACGATACTCGTGGAATTTTTTCGCAAAGAATCACTGCACTTGAAGTCCAACGGTTGGCCTTGACGGCGTTTTATAAATTTTCAACTTGGTGGCCGGATAAGGCGAAGTTTATACGTAAATGAAAGTTCAACGACTCGACCGAATCTCTCGTGGATCACTCCCGATTTTGGACATCTTGTATACGTGTGAACCGTATTTCTATCACTGTTGCCTTTTATGCATGCATGTAAATCTTCGAATAAGGTCAAAATTTAAATTTAATTTTTTCACTTTTTGTTTATTTATTTATTCAATATTATTATTATTATTATTTACTAATTTACACTAATTGTTTCAGATGGAGAATTTTTGTTTAAAGTTCAACGAATTATTCATGAGTCACTCTTCGATTACCTAAATCTTCTTCGTTTCATATTTTCTGGTAAATGGTAAAGGTTTGAACGAACTTAATATTCACTGATTACTATTTATTTTATTGTTATTATTAATTGATAATACAATTATAGAATATATATTTGTTTAAATTATATAATTCAATTTAATTTTCTTAAAAATGATAAGAAATGTAATAATCCTTTTTTTTTTTTTGTTTTATAATTTTATAATTATTGAATTGTAGATGTTGTCAAATTATCGACGTGATTCGAACGAAGGATTTCACGTTTTGGACGATAGAGAATTACGGGGAGAGACGAGAGAACGAAGAAACGTCGGAACGTCACGCGACGAGAAACGACGTCGGATAAACTGGAAACGCAGCCCGCGCTTCCGAAGAATTTGCCGCCCGTCTAATTCCTTCGCATGCGCTTTGAACACCTTCCTCGCTCAACGACGCCGGCGTCGACCAGTCGACAAACCGACGCCCGTTCATTTACGCGTCCTCTGCCTGCCTCTTGCTGCCACTTTATCAATCATTTTCCCCACACTAAAGCTTCTTTCACACAGTCTCTTTCAACATTTGTATTACGAAATATTTGTAGGAATGTATCGATGTACGTATATAAGGTTAGTAGGATCTTTCAGACCAAGATCGTCTGTCTGAAAGATTCTATTGAACTTGTATACGTGATGTTAATACGGGATACCTTTGAAGATACCTGTCGATACTATGGATAAAAATTGCTTGTTTATCGAGATAACCAATTTTTTTAACCTAAGAAATGAGATATGAATATATCTTGATTTTTTTTTTGTGTGTATTTTGGCCTTTAGAATCGATCCTCCAAGAAAGTTCGAATATATTAACATTCCTGTATGCAAATCGATATTCGTTATACAAAATATATTGCCATGTTAAAGAAGTACAAGAAACAAAATGTAGAAAAATATTAAATAATAATATTGTTATTATAATATTATAGTAAAATTTCGAAGAGATAATATTATGATGACGACTAAGAAAATAATTTTTCTCAGTTGTCATATTTTTTGAAATTTTAATATTTCTTTTTAAACATTTAATTAGAAACAGATTTAATAATCTATAATGCGATGTTCGTGTGATTTTCAGCTTCGTTTCTTTCAATTGCTCAAAAATGAATGATGATAAAGAAAATGAAAGATGAATTTCTGTATGAAATCTTTATATATGTCAATCCTTTGTTAAATCTCATCTCATTCTCGAAAACTTTAATAAGAGGAACAGTTAAGAATTCATCTCTTCCTTTGAAATTCAAGTTTACCATTTATAGATTTATGTACAAAATACTAGATTTGAGTAAGTTTTTTGGACTTTCAAGAATGATGAATGGTGCAATATAAAAATTTTTTTATTCTTTTTATTAAAATTCAATATTAGCTTCGAAGTTAAATCATATGGAAATAATCAATTGTTTCCAATTAAACATATGAAGATGCACAATTATCCTTATTAAGTAGCACGCTTATTTAAATTAAATAATGAAATAACGTAATGTTTTTTCTAAATATGAAAATAAATAATAAAAAATACTTAACACGACAATTATATAAGGAATTTTGTTATATATTAAAATTATGTATTTAGTTATACATGTATAGATAAGATGCAGAATTTTTTTTCTCTTTAAATTTTTTCTTCTCAAAATCTTGAGTCAATTTCTAACGTAATATAAAATTTTAATATAATCTTCATATTATATTGAACTAAAATAAATAAATAAATTGATAAATTTGTATATAATATAATAATAATGATAATAATAATAAAATAAAATATATATTATAAATGGAAATATAACGCATAATAAAACATATAATAAAAATAATGATTATATTATCTGACAGTGTTATCAAGTTCTGAGGGATGCGTGCACGAATTAAAAGGACAGCTACAACCAAGTGCCAAACCGTTCGTTCCTGTTCTCACATATGTGCTAAATCCAAAATCGATTACGATGGGTCAGCTGTACGGGGAATACGATCTTAATACACGCGAATGGTGAGTGAAATCCCGTGATACTACGGTATCAAATGGTTTGAGCGTGTGAATCAAATGGACTTCTTCTTCTTTTTCAGGATTTATATGATATACTATCCACTTGAAAAATAAAAATATTATTTTTAGAAATATTAGTTCATCATAGGTTATATCAAATAGATTATATCAATTTTTATAAAATTTAAGAATTGATTTTCAAATTCAAAATATTGTAAATATTATTTATTACTTAATTAAATGTTCATTTAATATTATACTTATGCGAACAAATAGTTTTTTTTTGTCTTTTCAACTTGTTAATTTGTAAAATTTATATAGGTTATCCTATTTAAAATTAATTTAAATGACTTCAAATTGTCAAAATGTAAAAAAAAAATTAATCTCATTAAATGTCTAACGATGTCTTCATCAATCATTATTCAATTTTTTTATTGAAAAAATTCTTACAAATTTCGATAATTTTCAAACGAATCGATTTAGATGGGAAATTTTATACCTCGCATATATGTATATATATTTACGTACACATTATATGTGTAAAATATAATGCATATACGTTTCTATACATATACCTATTTGCCTGTTTATCTATGCATTCAGGAGTCCTCGCATAATTGAAATTTGAGTAGTTTATATGAAGATAAAATAATTCTCTTTCGTTTCAGTTTTTACGTACAATGTTTTTATGCACAATATTGAGGTACAAAAGAATTTTTGAATAATCAATAATTGCAGTTATTTACTTCTTTATATGATTTATTGCATAATAACTTCTAAACTAAAGGAAAAGAAATTTATTGAAAAATTTTTAATTTTTAAAATTTTTACGTAATTACAATAAGATTAAGGTACGTGTTTTAGCAGATTTAATATTAAAAATCATTCATAATATTAGTCTTACGTAGTATTATGATTTATCATGAAAAATATTGGATAATTCTTTCATGAAAATATACATGTACGACAATATATCTACGTGAATAACATTTGCGGAAACATGATTGCTTTATTTTAAACAAACACAAAAAAATGGATCCATGCATCACTTTCAATCTTAAATAAATATTTAAAAATTCGAAAAAAAAATATTCTCACGTAGAAATCCAGTTAAACAAATTTCAGTTAAAAAATTTTTTCGCACACATACAATACATACAATAGTTTTCATGAAAATATATTTTTATACTAAACCATTATTGTCGATACTATTTATAGATGTTTTTTATTTCTATATTTAATTTAAAATCTTATGACTATATTTTTCAATCGTAAATTTCAAAGTTTAAATCTCGTAAAATGTTATATAAAAGGAATTTTATATTTTCCTGGATAATCCTGCAATTTAGCGAATTTTTTGAATTTTAACTATTTGATTTTTTTTTTGAAATTATATTTTAATAGTGATATTCTAAAAGTGAAATCAATTGAAGCAATTTTATTATAATGATAAATCATTAAATTGCAAAATTATCTTTCTTATATTAATATTATATAAATAGTGACAGAGATTTATTTTTCGAATAAAAACGTGATTTCACTCAAACATGATAAAGTGTAATAGAATATATTAATTTTCGTTTAAACATGTAAAACATGTTTAAAACATAATTTGTAAATTTTTCTTTTTTCTTTTTTAGGACTGATGGAATTTTTTCGACGTTACTTAGAGCTGGAATAGCTGCACCGGATCAAAATAAACGTTGGTTCATATTCGATGGACCTGTCGATGCACTGTGGATCGAGAACATGAATACCGTGCTAGACGATAATAAAAAACTTTGTTTGACATCTGGTGAAATAATGAAGATCCTGCCTACAATGACGATGATGTTCGAAGTTGCTGATTTAAAAGTGGCTTCACCAGCTACTGTTTCAAGGTTAATTCCAATAACTATAAATTTTTAATTTTAATTAAGTAACCAATAATTAACATAAATCGTAAGTTTTGATTAATAATTATATTTTTGTTGATAAAATACATACTGTGACAGATACTAATTATATTTTTGATTTATATTATATTTTTATGTATTTTTATTTCTAGGGAAATTAATATAGCGCCATCTATATTATTATTATGGTGACTTTCATTGCAAGCAAAGATATATATTATACACTTCATATATTTATCTTATATACACGATGTTTCATTTGGTATTATTATTTTAATTTATATCCATACTTTTAAAAAAATATTTTAAATAAAAGTTGAATGATTTCTAGAAATATAGAAGTACATTCTGATATTATTTATCATAAATAGATATATAGGAGTCATATGTAAATATTTTTTTTACATATTTTTTTTAATTCCAGAGAATTCAGTACATATAATTGTATTATTGATCTATACAACTCGATCTATCTGACAATATGATCGACTTTTACTACTTGTTGTATACGACTGTATGGTTGATTTATATTAACCGAAGTAAATAATATAATTAATTCCATTTATTAAAATTATATATCCTGGAATGATATAAGAAATGCGCTTAATCATGCTTTTTATATAAAAATGCTCGGATTCGAGCTATTACTTGAAATCGAGATACATAACGAATCAATCATCATTCGATTCGCACATCAATCATCGTGCATTGTGAATAAAAAGGAAGTAACTGGAATAGAAAAACTTGTCAAAGATAATAAATGACTACCAAAAGGATAAAGAAACATTAAAAATAAAAATATAATCAAATTTATAATGAAAATATCATACATATATATATATCACATATACAACAATGTATAATACAATATATATATATATATATATATATATATATATACATATAATAATTAATTTATTATTTTCAGATGCGGCATGGTATACATGCAACCAGAAGATTTGGGTCTCGATCCTTTTATTAATTGTTGGATAAAGCAATTACCTAAAGTAAGTCTTATGATTAATCAAAATTGATTGATAATTTAATTATTAATTGGAAGATTCAAAAAGTCAATCAAATGTAAGTCAGATTGTCTGATTTACATAGCTCAAGAATATCTTTGTTATTTAAACTTTCACTTGAGAAATCAATCAAACAATTATTTCAGTAGTTTATTAATGATTTAATTGTCAATTGAAAATTTGAACAATAAAAAAATTCTTCTTCTAAACTGTGTAAGAGATTTTCAAAGAATGTGATTTACACTGATTTGCTTCCAATTATAGAGATAATTAATAGAATAACTTAAATAGAACTTTGTTATTGAATTATTGGAAAAGAATAAGTTATATAAGAAACAGAATAATAAAAAAATAAATTCTATAATTACAGAACATGAGTGCACATATCGAAAAAATTATCGAATTGACGAAGCAACTTTTATTTCCGGGATTGAAGATTTTACGTAGTCGTTTACGAGAAATCGAGGAAACCGTTAATTTTGGAATGGTGCAATCTTATATAAACTTGATGAACTTTCGTATTGGTCCCATGGCTGGTCGAGAAGGGAAACTTCCACCAGCTGCCCCTTTCCAAGAACTAATTCGTAAGAATTGCATTAAATTATTGCATTAAACTTTAAATTTTTAATATCAATCTTGTAATGTAACAATCAAATGAAAATGAAAATTGAACTGTTACATCCTATTTAAAAGCTGTATATATTTATATTATATACTGTAGAATTTAGATTCTTACCATGATGCAGTATTTATAAACTACTACTACTGGCTATGATATAAGTTACATATACTACTACAAATCTCTGCTAGCAGAACATTTATTTAAAAATGTATATTTTAATATCTAAAACTAAGAAAACGTACGATTTTTATAGCATTAAGAAAAGAAAAGCTAAATTAAAAATGAATTATTGAAAATAAAAAGATCTTAAATATAAATGGTTGATATGACTAATTTTTAAAACAAGCTGGCCAGATTAATTTTGAATCAAATTTTTTCTTATCGATTTTAAAAAAAGCACACAATCACAGAGAAACAATCGCATCATTCTAGCCCACTTGCTCGCACCTTGGGCATCTTTCGCGACAGTGTGGAGTCTTGGAGCGAGTTGCGATTACGACAGTCGTTGTATATTCGACGAGTGGATAAGGAATGTGCAAAAAAGACATAAGCACGAATTACCATTCCCTGAAGAAGGTTTAGTATATGATTACAGGTGTATATTTTAATTATTTTCCTTTCCTTTTCTTTTTTTTTTTTTCATTTCAATGCAAAAAACTTCTATTTGTAGACTGCACGACGGTGGTTTCACGGATTTAATTGAGGGCCAAGAACCAATTTCACCAAAATGGTACAAATGGTTGGACGACATTCCTCCGATAATCATTACACTCGACATGAAATTCGTAGGTGAAAAAAAAAAAAAAAAATGATCGAATTAGATAAAATTTAAAAAAATGGCTCAATTTTACATCTTGGAATCGTATGATTCACAGACATGGAAATACCAACAATGAACAGCGTAAGAAACGCGGCCTTAATAGGTTATCTGTTGATCAATGAATCGAATCCTCTTTGCATTGGGCCAACTGGAAGCGGGAAGACGTTGACAGTGAGCGCCAAACTTATGAGGCACATGCACAAAAAGTACATCTGTGACTTTATTACTTTCTCTGCCAGAACTACAGCAAATCAGACCCAGGTGTATTGAATTGTTCGATATTTTAATTCACGATCATTTGAAACATTCTCTAAAAATATTTATATAAAAAGGATTTAGTTGACGAAAAATTGATCAGAAGGCGTAAAAACACGTATGGGCCGCCGTTACTTCGAAAACAAGTATTTTTCATTGATGATTTGAACATGCCTGCACTTGATACGTTTGGAGCTCAGCCTCCACTTGAATTGGTCAGACAATTTATGGATTTTAAAGGTAATCCGTTTTAATTTGTCATATTATATAAATATATGTACAATATACATTCGACGTAGTATATTTTTATTAAAAGTTTTATCAGTTAAATTGAAAATTTAATAAAAAGTTTTTTAACAATTTTACACGTGAAATAACACACGAAACTAACGAAGTTTAAAAATACAAATGTGAAAATAACGGATAGATATTTATACACGAATCGCGTAAAGGAATTAAAAATAGGAGAAAATACTATTTCAGGATGGTACGACCGAAAGGAAATCGGTTTATTCAGGTGGATCGAAGACGTAAATTTTATCGCTGCGATGGGACCGCCTGGTGGCGGTAGAAATCCAGTAACTCCCAGATTGTTGCGACATTTCCATTTCATTGCATTCCCGGAAATGGAGGAAGACGATAAGGTAATTTTTAAACGACGCTCTTCCCCGTCAGTTAACGACCGTAAACTGGAGAGCCGGAAGCAATTAAGAAAGAAGACGGAATAATTCATCTTCGTCTGGCTCGAACATGTCAAAATTTCATTCTCGTCCATCTCTCGATACTATCACTATTCATTTCTATTTCTTCCACCTTAATTTAATCTCCTTAATTATGGGGGGAAAAATTTAACTTTGAGATTCAATTGCTTGAATAAATTCTAATTGTGAATGTAATATAAAGATAAAATTTATGATAAAACAATTTGAATTAAACACGACATTTACAATTCTCAAAGGGAACTTATTTTGAAATTATTATCTTGAAATTTATTTCGAGTCAAAGACTATCTGAACATTTGATATTGACATAAGGTTTAATAAATTGTAACACTTTCAAGAAAAAGTAAGAAAGTTCGATCTCTGAACCTCGCCTAGATGTACATAACCTTAAAAAAAATGAAGGGGTGGCAGATAACAGCAGGTGACACTCGTTCATTTCCCTTTACGCCGTTTATCCGGTTTTATTCCGTCGAGTCGTCAATCCACGCCCACAATGAATAATTATGGTTCGTGAAAGAGACAAAGTATCCGTCGGTGGTTGGTTTTATTTGTTCTCTCCCCCAGACTCGACGCAATTAGGTATCGTAAATCGTCCCAGTGCCTACCCATAATTTATTTCGATCACCAGTTTAGCCTAATAACGAGATCCCATAACACACCTCCAGTGGAATCTGTTTTACTCCTGGTGTTTTTTAAAAAAGATCAGACAAGGTCAAATCGGGGACACGATTATCTAATACTTGTCGAATATATATTTTTATGCAATAATTTTTTTATAAAAATATGAAAGATCTTTTATTCTTAGAAACGAAAGAATTATTTTCTTGTACTAGTTTTAAAATGATATAACTTGAATTATTATTTGCGATTAGATAAAAATTTATTATTATTACATATAATCAATCTTAGAGATAAATTAATATTATTAAAATATTATTATTGACATTTTTATATTTAGAGACACATTTTCGGGACGATTCTGAAATGCTGGTTGTCCCTCACTCATTTTGCACACATGCTGGATATTTTTATAACCACAACATTGAATTTGTATACAATCATATGCAAAGAAATGTTGCCGACACCTCTCAAGTCCCATTATACTTTTAATCTTCGCGATCTGAGTAAAGTGTTTCAGGGAATGCTTATGGCGAATCCACAAAAAGTAGAGGTTTGTAAGAATTATAATAAAAATAAAGAAAATAAAAAAAATATGTATACATAATAATAGCAATCATAAAATAAAATTGTTGAAATATAGATTTTATCCTTCTTTAAAAAATTTTACATAACAAACATACATTTTTTATATTATAGCATCTGAACAAGTTATTATTACTCTGGTATCACGAAAATGTACGGGTGTACAGCGATCGATTGATAAACGACGAAGACCGAAATTGGTTCGATAATCTCTTGCGAAATATGATGAAAACAGAATTTAAATGTGATCCTAACGAAATTATCGGTGATCATATACTATTTTTCGGTGATTTCATGGGAATTGCCAAAGAATATGAAGAGATAATCAATCATAAAAAAGCAAGTATATTATATAATTTTATTATGGAAATAACCTAAAATTATACGGTAAAATCAAAAAAAAAATCACATCATAAAAAGGAGAGTTTCAAAGAAAAAAAGTTATTGCAAAATATTTAATAAGGAAATGATTAATTTCGTACTTACATTTGTAACTCGTGTCTGTTGTCGATGCAAATCTAGATGCAAGAAATATTAGAAGAATTTCTCGAAGATTACAATGCTACCTCAGTAAGCCCTATGAAACTGGTACTATTTCAAGATGCCATAGATCACATATGTAGAATAAATCGAATTATACGACAGCCTCGAGGAAATGCTCTTCTCTTAGGAATGGGAGGATCAGGTGTAAAAATATATGTAGAATTAGTGCCCTTCAAGCTCTTTTTCATTCACTCTTATCGTCGTCGAAAGAATGTGACATTGAAAATTTTTTTTTTTTTTTTGACAAATAAATGAAAACGGAAATTTTTTCATAATTATGAAAATAAGAAATTTATAAATTCAAATAAACATATTTTTAAAAGATTATAAAGATAGTTTTAAAGTTTTTTTGGTTATTATTTATATTTGATATATTTATATCCTGAACAAAATTTCGAGACTTGAACAATTAATTTTTAATTTGCAATTTTGTATTTTTAATTTCTTTTATTATTGTTTGTTAATTTTTTTACTATTTGTTTTTTAAAATTATATTACTATTATTCCTATTATTCAGGAAGACAAAGCTTGACAAGATTAGCTGCGCATATACAAGATTTCAATTGCTTTCAAATAGAATTAAGTGGTATCTATACGGCTCATGACTGGCACGAAGACATAAAGAAATCAATGATGTATGCCGGGGTGCAGAATCAACTTCTCGTTTTTCTATTTTCTGATACACAAGTATGCTTGTTAATTCAATAATTAACTTAACAATTTGCTTATAATTTATCAATAAAATTCACTAGATATAATTTAGTTTATTGTTATAAAAATACTATCAATTGTATTCGAATATGAAATCAATTACTTGTACAATATACGCTTGAATATCGATTATTTATGAAATCTTTATGATATATATTCTTGAATATCGATTAATCAAAATGCTAGTTATCGAGTAATTAAAATTCTAGCTCAAAATTTCCAATTCCAATTATTAAATGAAATACGTATTGAAACTGTATTCACATTTTGCAACATGTAAAATAATATTTTTGAATAATTAATATCATCGAACATTCAACGATGTAATTAGAAATATCTGAATTGAAAGCTGCATATTTGTCCATGTTTCAAACATTAATGAATTAGTATTTTTAAACAATATTTGTTTATGAAAATATATCAGTTTTCTAATATTTTTTTTTTCAATTTATTTCCTATGTTTTTCAATTTTATTTTTTAACAAGTTTTTTATTTAATCTAAACTAAATTTTCATTATTTTCAAATATTAATTTTTTCCACTTTTATTCTCAGATAAAGGACGATTCCATGCTAGAAGATCTGAATAGTGTTCTAAATAATGGTGATGTTCCCAATATCTACAAAGTGGATGAAATGGAAAAGATTTATCATTCTATGCGTGGAGCAGTACAAGAAGCAGGCTTAGCAATTAATAGAAGCAACCTTTTCTCCGCCTACGTGAGGACAGTCCGTAATAATTTACACGTCGTCATTACTATGAGGTAGTTACATGAAAAAAATATCTATTCTTGTTATGACAATAATTAAGTGAAATATCCAACAAAACTGAACTCCCCGCTGATCCATTAGAAATTGAAGACATAAAAGGAACAAAGATATCTAATTGATCTATGAAATTGTCAAGTATTTGTGCGAGAGTATTTTATTGTGAGGTTATTTATCAAAAAAAAAAACGCGTATTCTGGAAGATAGTATTATAGGAATTAGATAAAAGATCGATTTGTGGAAAATTGGATAAATTTGAGGTTAGATCGACCAAAAGATTTGCGAATGTAAAATTTAAAGAAAAAATAATTTTATGAAATGGAAATGTTAAAATTTAACATAAGATTACGAGTTTTATTATTTTAGTAAATTATTCAGATTTCAAAATTTGTATATACATTTTAAGTTGAATGAAAACTTGATGAATCGAAACTTGAATTTAAAAATTATCATATATTGATTAAAAATAAAATTATAAAATGCTCGCAACATTTTTCAATATCTCATCAATAATTTCATTAAGAATTGAAAATAAAAGTAAGTTCTTTTAATTTTCAGTCCGATCGGTGAAGTTTTTCGTGCTCGTATCAGACAATTTCCAGCATTAGTAAATTGTTCAACGATCGATTGGTTTTGTCCATGGCCAGAAGCTGCTCTTCAAGTTCGTTATGTTATATTCTTTTTTGCCATTCATGATATATTGAGATCAATAATAAATGGATGCGATTTCATTTCTGATCTATTATTAGAAATAGCATTTTTCTTAATGATCAATTATTACTTTCATAATAATTGGAGAAAAATAAATAGGATATTAATTTTTTTGTTATATTATAAATAAAAAAATTTCATAATCAAAAAGTTTTTTAATAACACAATTAAATTCAATTAAAAATGGAAGGAAAAAAACAAATGAAAACTTTTTGTAATTTACTGTATGATAAAAAATAAAATTTGGAATTTTCATTTTATAATATTCGAAATATATATATTTAGATCATCGTATCGTTCGTTCATATATTTATATGATGAACGATCAAAATTAAAATATATTTTTATACGAATAATTAAATTTATTGTTTCAGAGTGTTGCAATGACATTTCTCATTGATATACAAGACGAGTCGATTACTGATGATGTATTGGAATCTATTGTAAAAATGTGTCAATATATGCATTCGAGTGTGATTGAAGCAAGTGATCTCTACTTGAAGGTAAGCGATACATCGAATTGTTTGTGCGTGTACTTGACATCACTAGTAATTTTTGTGAGATTCTAGTTTTTTGCCGCTGAATAATACGTTATAAAGTTTTTTATGAATTTCTTTATTTTAAATAATAATTGTAATGTAATGTAATAGTAGGCTGGGATAAAATTGAATTCTTTGTTATTTATAACTTCTAAATGAGTATATCTTCCAATAATATAAATAGTGATTTTTATAGTGATATTTATTTATAAATACTTATTCGATAATTTTTGTTTTTAACGCGTAATAATATAATAATATAATTTTGCCCCATATTATTCCAACATAAATTTCTTCTTTGAAGATTCAAATTATTCAAGTTCAATTGTATGTTCCAAACAATATTTTACTTGACATAACCTTACGTAAACAAGTAACCTGAAAATATGCTAAAGCATATAGCTAAAGCATCTAAATTGCTAAGGGAAATGGAGTTTATGGACAAACAATACAACAAAATTAATTTTCTCCATACATATTTCACTTTAGCAATGATCAATTATATTAAAAAAAAATCAAATTCAAAACAGATTTAAATAATTTTAAATCTCGGAAAATATTATTCTAATTACATAAATTCTTTTTTGAATAACTCTTAATTTTCAATAAATTATATATATCTCTTTGATAAACTTTGTTATCTTTATAATATTCCATTGAAAACGAAAAATATTTAAAATCTCATAATGCAACAAATTTTTTTGAGTTAGCTGTTAAGAAAAAAAAACATTTAATTTTTTATTTTATATTTAATATATTCAATTTTAATACACAAGTGTTAATAAGTTTTATAAAAAAAAGAAATACTTTAAAATATTTTTATTATTAACTATAAATTTCAATGTGCAAAATAATAATAAAATAAATATATATTAATTTTAAACTCATTTAAATATAATATATTGATAATATATTATTTTAAATTTTATTCAAAATATATATAAATGCTATTTCATTCCACATATTCTATAATTAAAAAATGTTAATTAAAAAACTAATAATTGAAATATTTATAAAAAATATTGATTTTTAATAAATAAAAATATTTTATTTGATATTAAATTCTCACTTGTTATTAAGTTAAATTTATTATTAATTTGTCATTATTATTATTTTTTAAAATTAAGCTATGCCAAAGATATTTAATCTAATTTATTTTATGAAAAATGAAAAAAAATTTTTCGTAAAAGTATAATTCCCGATAAATAAAAATCGATAGATAATAAAAAAAAATTATGTTGTGCAGGAATTGAATCGTCATACTTACGTTACGCCCACGTCGTACCTTGAATTATTATCTAGTTACGGTAATCTCTTAAATAAAAAGAAAACGGAATTGATGTCAGCAGCATATCGTCTTACTACAGGTAACGAAAATTAAATTTAATTAGATTTTTTATTTTTCATTTTATGAAGTAACAAATCTTTTAATAACAAAAAAAAAATCGAATTAAAAATTCATAGAAAACAATAATAGGAAATAATAGAAATTTAAAGTAGAAAAATTAAAGTACACCCTGTATATATATATATATATGTAAAATAAGCTTTTTTCGATTAATTAATTAGGATGGAACTTGAGCCAAGTTGTTTAAACTAAATAACATTGTTCAAAATTATGATTGCACTTATCTCGTCTCCCAATTCTCGAGAATCTATAACTTTCGAAGTACACTTTATTCGTTTCTATATATGTAATAGATAAATATTCCTTTCTTTTAATTGATCCGACCGTGAAATGACACATATTTCCATTCAGATCAATTATACTTCCTTCTAAATTATAATCTTATTTGTTGTAATTACATTACATATTAATTTCTGAATCGTGAATTTTTGCTTTGAATTTTTTCGATTCAATTTGATAGTAATTTCGAACTGGTGATTCCTTTTTTAATCAGAATTATTTATCATGAGATAAATATAACAGCCAGTCAATATGAATGATATGAATATTCTCAAAAATATATATGTACTTTTAATTGAAAGAAACAGAAGAAAAGAAGTAGAAATTAATGCAAAGCAATTGAAATCAAGATAAAAATTGGAAGAGAAAATCTTACTTGGGAACTCTTCATTTTTGAAATACTTCGACTTCTGGAAAATGTAAAAAAATAAGTATTTAAAAAAAAGAGCTTCAAAGTCTTTCTTTTGAAAATTTTCTCAATGGCGTCATCGATATTATTTGCTCCTTATAATTTTTTTACTCATTATATCCGCGAAAATGAGAAAAAAAATGTAGAAAAAAAAAAAAAGAAACATCAAAGCGAAAATATTAACAGAATATTTTCCATAGGTCAAAGGTAAATGATCCGCGCAGGTAATTTTGAAGGCGAATGAATTAAGCAAAACTCGTCTAATAGGAGATTGTAGTACGTGCCAACTCCGTTATTGATTTCTTCTACGCGCGAGCCATAAATGTATTAGCTGCAGAACCAAGAACAGTGGACACTCGATAAATTTATTAGAACCAACTATCGAAAAATTAGTCGATGATCGAAATAAAATATGAGCCACGGTTATTTATACTCTCTTCTTAATTAACCTGATAGATAATCTTCATTAAATTTCATTATTAGGATATATTTTGATTGAAACTTCAATATTCTCTTGAAGATTAATATCTTCTATAAAAGGAATTAACATTTTAAATAAGAATTCTGTTGATTATAATTTTTAAAGTTTAATCTGATATTTATAAAAGCTACATTAAATTAATAAGAGATTAATATTCTATAAAAGAAATTAACTGTTGATTGCAATTTTTAATTTTAATTTGAATATTTTTTAGGAATAATAATCATATATAAAATTAATGAACATTAATCGTGTGAAAATTATACGATTAATGAGATAAGTAGATAAAAAAATTTTAAATCTATAGATAGAGGAGTAAACTTTTAATTCACATGATGATAAAAATTTTTTATATAAAAGATTAAATTCTCAGAACGAGAAAATTATATATATCTATTATAAAATTTTTCATATTTTTCAATTCAATATCAATATTTTTCTTTTATTATTTTATCTGTTTCCGTAATGCTAATAATATTTTATTTGCTTGAATTGTGAAATTTTATAATTTTAATTTTCGAAAATATTTCTATTTATAAAAAATAATTTTCTACTTTGAAAATTTGATTAAAAATTTGATTAATCATTTTAATAACACATTTCAAATTGTTATTAAAATGAATTGAATCAAATATTTATAACATAGATATGTGACAATTAAACTTTAATAATTAATATTTTAACATAAACTAAATTAATGGAAAAATCAATTTCTGAAAAAAAAAATATTTCTATATTTATATTTATATGATATAAATAATAATAAAATAAATAATTTTAAAACTTGTATTAAGTATCATTTAATATAATATCATTAAATATGTTGGAAATGCCAGTTTGTTAATAGGGAAACAAGGAAATATGTTTCAACGTAAATTACTATTACGAAACAAGGAAATATATATCAGTGTAAGTTATTTCGCAATAAACATTACCATATTAGCGTATAAAAGTGAAAAAGTCAAGATACAATCGAAAGGTCAAAGATAGTTAAAATTGAGTTATTTTCCTTTTCTAATTAAACATTTCTAATTAAATCTTAATTTAAAAAATTTATCAAAACCTTTTGCTGTTTTTATATAAGAATATTTTATTCAAAAATGAAAAAATATAAAACCAATAATTTTGTAAATTTTACTTGCAGGTTTTTGTTGATTTTTTTTGGAATAAGACAACTATATATTTTTTCAATTCGTCTTTGACTATGTTCCATTTACATATATGTTATGTGTAGATACATCTATGTTTTTCGAGGTTATGTAGAATGCGTTATAGCTATCCAGTTTTCAGTAGGTCATCCTATATATATACAAGAAAAGAATAACATTTCATTTTTTGTTGAAATTTTCCAAGTTCGATTTTAAATAAAATCATAAACGAACAAATATAAACGGATACAAACTGTTAATTTTGACTCAATAATAATTATTCTTGAAACAAAATAATTTTATTCCATTAAAAATTATATTTTATTAAAATTTTATTCCAATTGAATATTAAAAAAATTACAAAAATATAATTTCGACATTTTTTCCTTTTCTTTTTTCTTTTTTTGCATTTCATTGCATTGACCTTTAACTTTTTCATAGGTTTGGACAAATTGGCACACGCGGAAGTAGAAGTAAAGAACATGCAGCAATTACTGACGGAAATGAAGCCGAAATTGGAAAGAGCAGCAGAGGCAACGGCTAGAATGATCAGAAGAATCACTCTCGATACTGTTGGTATCCTCGATCATTGAATAAATGCGAAATCAAAATTGGATAAATGCGTCATTAAATAAAATTTATTTATTTATTTAATACAAATTGCAATTCAGTAATTGCATAGTGCATGTTTTTAGAAAATGTTTGTAGAAAATTAGATAAAAATTAAAGAATTAAAGTTAATGATTTATTAAAGTTAATGATGTTAAAAATGGATGGTTTAATTTTAGCAAAAAAAGGAAAACAGAATAATTTAGTCTATATAATATGATTCTAGTTACAAATTCTATTAGATAGAATCACATATTTTTAAACATGTTATCTTTAAATATTTGATAATCAAGAATAGAGTTAAGAATAATATAGAATTTTTCTTACTGAAAATATAATACTTAAAAATTAATACTTAATAATCTGTTATTTTTATCAACAATATAATAAAAATAGATGTATGAATTAAAATATTTTGTTATACGTAGATTGAGGCAGAAAAGACGAGAGCAGAGGCGCAGATACAAGAAAATCTAGCGACAAAAATGAAAGCTGAGAATCAAGCTATTAGGGACGAAGCTGAAGCAGATTTGAGTGGGTTATTGTATTCTTTTGTGCTTATATTTTTCTTGATATAAAGAATGGCGGGTCTAAAACAATCGTTATCCTTAACTAGCCTTATGTAATTTTAATTAAAAAAAAAAAATGTTTGGAACACATTCTTTTAAAATCATTATTAAAGAACAAAAGAAATCCACGTCATTCTTTTTTTTTTTTCTTCTAAGTCTTTTTTTTTTTTTTTTTGGTCACATATTCTAATGTATTTACATATATGCTTCCATTGATTATCACTAGATGTCTCACCAATATTTACTTTCTCACAAATACTTGTTTTCATCATAGTTCATATAAAGTCTGAAATAAATTTCAAATTATTATATTCCAAATATCTAAATCAGTGTTATCTATAATAACTCTATTATAACAAATATATCGGATAATCTTGAAAAGGAAACATCTAACGTTCCTTTTCCTTTTTGATCTATGTATTCTTCCTTGACGTGTTTATCTTCTAATATGTCACGTTAATGTATAGTCTACCATACTGTATAGAAATACCGATGATTATTCCTAATATCTAGAAATATAACGCCAATATTAGACCTCGCAAAAGTTAAATGTGATTTGTTTGCAATATTTTTGTTATTGTTAAGTCCCTAAACAATAATTTAATCCGTTATTTTAACGAGAAAAGTTAAGACAATTTTGAGTAATTTATTATAACAACTTAGATGTGAAATATAAAATTCCTTGGAAAAAGTTTTTAATAAAATGATGAAATTCGTTCGATTATGTACAGAATTTCTCTCTGCAAATTTTTTAATCTATGAATGTTTTATTAAAGTTATATTTGAAAGGAATTTCAATCTGAATGTGTATTGCTAAAATTTTTGAACTTATTTTTGATAAAAATATGCAAATATAAAATATATATATTATTATATTTGTATTGTATGAATCGTAAAATATCTTTTCTCATTTTGTGTAATTTATTATTTGTTCAAAAGAGATTCCTGCTTCGCACAAATGAAACACACGTAAATAATTACAAATAATCGGTATAATCATGAAATTTTTAAATGATAAAAACAAAAAAAGTATCATCATTATATGCAATAAAAAATTATTGTATTCCAATCAATGTCAGAAAATGAAAAACATTTATCTTATTATCTTTTCTCAATTTATTTATCCTGAAAACTATTCCAAAACACACGCATTATTTCAATTAATCGATCAATAAGTGTACTATAAAAGTAATCACCGTTCCATATGTATTTATCCTGAAATATGTTTACTCTTCAACGCAATACCCCGTGCAACGATCTAATCGATACTCCATTTACCACAGGTGAAGCGCGCCCTTTGTTGATAGCCGCCGAGAAGAGCTTAAAGGCTTTGAATAGGGGCGATATTACCGAGGTAAAGGCGATGAAAAGGCCTCCCTCCGGTGTGATCTTAGTTATGGAAGCAGTTTGTATTATAAACAACGTGAAACCGCACAAGGTTTGTATATATTTATTATATTAAATCCAAGTTTCCAAGTTACGAGTGGTATTAGATAAGAGTTAGATGAGATTTGGATCGGTTTCATGATCTCTCTTTGTACACCATTATTTCTAAAGTATATATTATTATAAATCCAGGATTTGATGATTCATCGAAAATGATTATAAATTAAGATTCATCAAGCATTCATCTATGGTTAATGCAGGTTTTGAGATTTATAAAAATATTTATTTATACGTATAGTGAAACATTTTTTTACACGAATGAATTTTTTTTAGATTGAGGTAACAGGAAGATTTGGAGAAAAAGAATAAAATTGGATTATTGGACACCTGGTAGCCTGTTACTCGCGGATCCAGGCCAATTTTTGTACTCCATGGAGAATTTTGACAAGGAACAACTCACGGAGGAAATAATCAATAAGCTAAAAGTCTATATTGAAGACCCTAACTTCCAGCCAGCTAAGGTTTGTATTCGTTATTTGATATTTTCTTAATTCAATGTTAAACGATTTCTTATTGTATATCTTCCATTAGGAGCATCAACGTACGTTGTAGGAAAATAAATTGAATATCGTGATGTTACATTTGTTAGTTCAACAATTTTTTGGTGCAATCCGTTCGATTGATTATTGAAGAAAAAAATATTAAAATCTTTTTAAGATGGTGCACGATCCAAAAAGAATTAAAAAGCTATTTATTTTTCCAGCTATTAAAAATTTAATAAAAATTAATTAAAAAGTTATGTAAATATAGATGCAACATAATTCGTTTTCAAAAGTCGATCAAAGTTTATTGATCAATTTCTATCTTCGTCAAATTCGTTTGAAAAATTCGTTAAAAGTACATTAGATTATTAAATATTATATTATTTATAGTTTAAAAATATATTTTGATTAAATGTCATCGAAATTCAATTCTGTGCGAATTATCTTACGTCAATTCGTTCCGAGTTTATATTTTCCTCGAGAGGAAGAATCTTTTGACGATTTCTGGATAAGATCCAATAGAAAAAAGAAAAAAATAGAACGACATTATTCAACGCCTACGAGAATACGATCTTTTTATGGAATTTTTTCCATAAAAATAAATAAATGGATGATACGTAGATTCCAACTCGTTAATCCTTTATTACATCCTTTGGAGTGGAAGTTTTCTTGCGGTAAATTAATCATCGAGAACGATAGAGAAATAAGAAAAGAAGGAGAAAAAATATTCCATCGCATAAAAATATTTATCATATTTATATATTTTATCTAAGACACGATATCACTTCCTTTTCAGATTGAATACGTGTCAAAGGCGTGCCATTCGTTTTGTCTATGGGTACACGCGATGTACAACTGGTACTTCGTGAATAAAAAAGTGAAACCAAAGATGGAAGCGTTGGCAAAGGCCGAGGAAATACTTCTTGAGACCGAGAAGGCTCTGAGCGCCGCGATCCAAAGGCTGAAAGAAGTGGAGGAAGGTATCGCCTTGTTGCGAAAGCAGCTTGAGGAGGAGGAGGAAAGGAAAGCCGAACTTGAAAGGCAGAAGCAGCTTTGCGAGGACAGAATGGGAAGAGCTGTCAGACTAATAGTGGGTCTTGCCGGGGAGCAAGTACGTTGGGCCTCGACCGTGGTTGAACTTCGCGAATCCGTGAAAAATGCCGTTGGTGATATCCTGCTAGCCTCGGGTAGATACATCTCGCCACTTTTTCACTCTACGTTTCATCCAAAAGATTTTATTTTGGTTAAAAAAAAAACGTTCAAAAAAATTAACATTATATAATATGATATTATATGTGCATATAATAATTTGATTCGCAGGTGCAATAGCTTATTTGACACCGTTCACGGATATATACAGAGAAAGGCTTTTAGATTCTTGGAAAAAAGTTCTCGGTGAAGGCGTGCCGCACACGCCAGGCAGCGACCCTGTATCAACTCTGGGAGATCAGGTGGAGATAAGAAAATGGCAAATCGAGGGGTTACCTAGAGATATGTTATCCGTGGAAAATGCCGTCCTGGCAATGCATTCGAAACGTTGGCCACTTTTCATAGACCCTCAAGCACAAGCGAACAAATGGATACGTGCTTTGGTAATAAGTAATAAAATCCTTACTAAAATATTTTTCTTTGTACGAGTCAAAAGTGGCGGATAGAAGATAATCTAGAAATCTAAATAGTTAATACTGATCAAAATACCAAATACATTTTACATTTTATTCTCGTAATAACCTGTACAATCCTAACCTTATATAAATTTTTTTTTTTCATTGTTTCTAATTAATTCAATGATATGCAGTACAAAGAGGAAGGTATATCCATTGCAAGAATGACAGATAAAGAGTTGCTTCGTGTGGTCGAGTCATGCGTTCGATTCGGAAGAGCTTGTCTTATTGAGAATATTGGTCTCGAGCTGGAAGCTGGTTTGGATTCAATTTTCTTAAGATCATTATTCGAACACGGTGGTCAATGGTGTGTTAAAGTTGGGGAGAACATTGTTCCTTATAATACAGAATTCCGTCTTTTCCTCACAACGAGACTCGCAAATCCTCATTACACACCAGAAGTATGCGTGAAGATATTATTGGTTAACTTTGCGCTCACCGAAACGTAAGTAAATAAGTGAAAGTAATTCAGTTCTCAGATTCATTTATGAACACGTATTATTCTGAAATTAATCATTTCTTAATTCAAAATCGTATTTTTTTTATTTTTATATACGGTTTTAATATTAAATATTTTACATTGATAAAAAAATATAAAATATAAAAGCGGTCTCGAGGATCAGATGTTGTCTTTGGTCGCGATTCAAGAACGACCTGATCTTGAGCAAGCGAGAAACGTTTTGATTCTGGCCAATGCTGAGATGAAGAAAGAACTATTGGAAATTGAGGATAGAATTTTATATCGATTGACCGTGTCCGAGGGCTCTGCTGTCGACGACATGGATCTTATTCTCACCTTAGAGGCATCCAAAATTAAAAGCGAAGAAATCAAGGTTTGAAATTCTTGATAAATAAATCCTATAAGTTAAATTGTTGATTTTAACGTATTTTACAATCAATTAAACCAATTATACAAATTTTATTTATTTATAAAATTGTCCATTTCATGCTTAAGAAACGGATAAAATGATCGTTCTTATTTTCTAAAATCTACACTTCACAAAAATTCGATCGATCCGCTCTCTAGCGGCCAATAAACAAATTTACCATATGTGACATATAGGTAAAAATGAAAGAAGCCGAGATCACTCAAGCAGACATCGACATGACCAGATCGCTCTATATTCCGGTGGCGATTCAGGGACGGATTCTATACTTTTGTCTGTCCGATCTGCAATATATCGACACTATGTATCAGTACTCGCTCGAATGGTTCGTCGAGATCTTCAACAATAGCATACTTGCAACGGAAAAGAGCGGTTCGTGAAATATCCTGTACACTAATTACTTGCCTATATACACTATACGAAACATCATAATTAATTATTTTCCACATAAACTATTTCACTCTTAGAGGCATAATTATACCCAAAACGTATAATATATGTAATTGCATTAAATTAATTATTCAACATTCATATTTATAATCTACATATACAGGTATATATCTCTTTAATCTATCATTAATTCAAAAATTATAATGTCGTATATCAAGACATGTAATTTATGAAAGATGAATTTATGATTTTTTTATTGTTAGTTTAAAAAATAACTTTAACCTTTTGCAGTTCAAAATTATTTAATGAAAATAAATAAGTAATAAAAAAAGTTAAAATCCATTTATAATAATATATCTAATCTGAACAAGCAAACATCTAAAAAACATTGATCTGTAAAATAAAATGTGTGTATAACCACACTGGAAATAGTATTGCAAAGGATTAATGTTCTAGTACAAAAATTTAACGAAAAAAAAAAAATTTTACACGGTTCATTTCAAAACTATGCAGAAATAATCATTCATTCATATCCTATGAATAAATATGAAGATGAAAGCGAATTAATTAGCGAATGATATTGTTTAGGAGATATCGAGGTACGAGTGACCAATATCAATCACAAATTCATGTTCTCCTTGTTCTCGAACGTATGCCGTAGTTTATTTGAAAAACACAAGCTCCATTTTGCGTTCCTCGTCTGTGCCAGAATTCGTATGAATGATGACTTAATCGATGCGATCGAATGGAGGCATTTTTTGTCCGGACCTATACCCATGATAGTGAGAATTATAATGAGTTTAATGAACTATGAGAGTGAAATTTGAAAAGCTTCTTTTCAATTCTTTTTCTCGATTCATTTTTT